GAGCTTGATTGAAGAAATAAAGCTTTAAGAATGCACTTTTTTTACACTCAAAGTGGCTTTTCCTTTATAGATACAATAGTTATATACAGCCTGTAAAATGCCCTCCATTTTGGTGACAGTAACTCAATGATCTGATAGTCTTTGCCAATATCACCATTGAAGGATTATAACTATTGATCACGCTTTTGAAAAAGTCAACCACTGCTATTTTAATATAACCTAAAACCTTAAAAAAACATCACGATTCCGTATATGGCTAAGGCAAACACGTCTAACCCCTACTCTTCGTTGGCATGTTGTACTAGGAAATCATGAAAGAACTTCCATGGTAAGCAAACCTATTCTTGTTTCTTTTTGTCTGAGAATCTACAATCTTCTTGTTTATCCCCATAAGATGGTTTAGATTTTTACAGAATCTTGATTTGTATTTTTTGACATATATCTTGTCAAGGGCCTTGAGGTGCAGATACAACAAAGTCGAATATTCTTCAATGGTTGGTGTCATATCAATTTCATTGCATTATAGCTCTAATTAGTTTATTCTTAACATTCACTGCAAGAAGGTGTGCTATATGTCCATGTCTCTGGTAAAACTTTTCTTGTCTTGATGGACTCATCTTCTTCTATATGTCAACCAAATCCTCTAGATGGTTTTGTTTGAAGAAGATGAATGTTTCTTGAGACAAGGTAGAAGCATAGCTGATTGGTAGACAATCTCTTTATTTTTGTTTATTTTTTTTACTGAACCTTTACCTTATTTGGTGATTCACAAGGAGCTAATACAGATGAAGAGCAGACTAATCATTCTGTGGAGTCCATGAAAAACTCTTTGTTGAAGACTATTTTTGAAGCAAATCTTCTTTATACAACTTTATGATATGAGCATGAATCATGCAAAAATGAATAAGAGAATAGGTTAGTACACCAAATAAAGAGAGATAAACAAATAAATAACTAAATAAATTAAAACATCATACATAATAAAACGAATGAATCATATGCTTTTGGTCAATTCTAAAGGAAGGGAAATGGCTTTATCTATAGGTTAGGCACTTCTAAAGTTCACTATATGTGGTTCAAGGTTAAAGTCTAAAGGTTTCCAAATTGCTCCTTACATCATCATTCATCATAGACTGGTAAAGCATCCAAATCCCCACCCATTATAGGCTGCAAGCGAAAAAAGGTTTAATTTGAGTGAGAGTATTTTGCTAGCCACTGTGAAGGCATTAAAATCTCATGAAAGCATAGGTACTTTACTCCCTCTTAGAGGGACATAGCTTGGGTATAGAGCTCATATTATGCACAAGCATATGAATGACATAGTTAGCAAAAAAAATCCTTACAAAGAATTCAATTTTATTAGGCTTTTTGGATAACACAAATTTATTTATTGGCTTGATTCTTGGTTTGATCCCTAATAGAGTTGTCAAACTGTCATAATATCTAGATCCATGGACATATTGCTAGATATTGACTTAAGGAATCACCACCAATCTTTTGTTTAGGTATGATTGTTCACCCGACTAAATCTATCCCTTTTTAAAAAGAAATACTAAGTTTGACTTAGGTATCTTTAAAAGGTAGATTCAATGTCTGCGAAACCAAAACTAGGTCTAAGAGTATGGTTACATGTGAGAAAGGTTATAGCACCCCCACAATACCCATTGAAAGATGGTATCAGCTCGATTTCGTGTTATCCATTAAGCTTAAAAAACTTTACCAAGTATTAATTATTAGAAATTATTCTTAATTGACTCTAATACTTTTGGTAAAAAATTAAAAAAATTTTCTCACCTCAAGAGTATACAAAAAAACTACTGTTTCTCCTACAAAGGCTTCGTCATCAGATTATTTAATATTAAAAATTTTTCAAAGGAAAAGAAAAAAAGGAATAATGCTTTAACTTTTGATAGAGATCATTTTTTATTATGTTGTTTTATAAGAAAGAAAACTCATGCTTTTATACAAAAAAAATTTGATACTTTCAACTTTTTTTTAAAGCATTTTGACATTTCTATTTTCAAAGAAAATTGATATTTTTAACTTTTCCTTAAAAATACTTCTTTTTTGAAAATTTTATTTTCAAGAAAAATTGATACTTTCAACTTTTTCTCAAAAATCCCTTTTTGAGATTTTTATTTTCAAGAAAAATTGATACTTTTAACTTTTTTTAAAAAAAGTTTTTTAGACAATTTTATTTTCAAGAAAAATTAATGTTTTCAACTTTTCTTTAAAAATGCTTTTTTTTTTAATTTCATTTTCAAGGAAAATTGATACTTTCAACTTTTACTCAAAAATACTTTTTTTGAAAATTTTATTTTCAAGAAAAATTGATACTTTCAACTTTTCCTCAAAAATATTTTTTGAAGTTTTTATTTTCAAGGAAAATTGATGCTTTCAACTTTTCCTCAAAAATATTTTTTAAAGTTTTTATTTTTTAAGGAAAATTGATACTTTTAAATTTTCCTCAAAAATATTTTTTTTTGAAAATATATATTTTTTGAAGTTTTTATTTTAAAAAAATCATTGAAAATTTAAGGATGTTTAATTAATTAAATAAATTATTTCAATTTAATCAATAAATAATAATAATAAATAAATAAATAAATAAGTAATAAAATTGAATGAAAAAAAAAACTTTGGCACGGCTCGACTAAGCTCGATTGGGATGTGGCTCCAAAGATAGTCGTGACTAAAATGGCTCAATGTGTGGCTCAGCTTAGCAACTCAACAGGGCTAAATGAAGCAAGTAAGTGGGTCGATATGCTGCAGGTTACGTCAAACTTTGGGTGATGCGTGGATCCTACCCAGTATTGATTTCTCAAAATGATGTCATTTATACGTTGGTATAAAAGGCATAAAAAATTTCTTTTCCTCAAACGCTTCCCCCATTTCTCTCTCTACCTCTGTTGCTTCTCACTCTAGACAATTTTCGATCATCGTTTGTCATTGAAAAATTATCGATTTTTCAGTTTTACTGTCGAAAGTTGGATTTTTTGCCGGAAAGTCACCAAAAAATTTGAATTTTTTTTAAAAAAAATCAACGAATTCTTTTCAGAAAATTTCCAAAAAACTTTAAAAAACTCCAAAAAAAACCAATTAAAACCACAAATTCCCTAGGAACCTTCTAAAAATTTTTTTGATTCTGATTACTCCTATTTTCTCCCTCTTTTTTCTGTGTATCTGTTCTTGTGATTGACGAGGTTTATATAGGATTAGGTACAAGGTTGAATGGGATTTGAAAATCAAACTTCCCATATCTTTTAATCCATTTATCCTTGTTTTTTCAAAAACCCATCCGTGTTGATCCCAATTTCAAATTTTAAAGTCTTAATCCTAGCATTTTACTAGGATTAAAACTCTGTTTTTATTTTTTTATTATTTATCTTTTATTTATTATCTATTTTGAAGCTTATCAAAAAATGAGTGTCTACAGTAATATAAGAAATTTTTTCATCAAAGACAAAATATTTTAGTATAAAAAAATAATTAAAGTGAAGATAAAATTATATATTTTTAATTTTGAATGATAATTTAACTAATTTGTACTTCATTATATTTTTAAACATTATTCAATTTATATCCTTAAGTTAAGGAAAGTGTCTATTTTTCAAGACTCTTAATCATTTTGTAAATTTAAACGCATCATTTTCAAGTTTAAATTTGACAATTATACAAAATTAAGAAATAGTATAGGAAACGCTGATCATTCAATTCCACTTAAAAAATTCAAAAAATATGGAATTTAATACTTTTGAATAATAACTTTATATTTTGTTCATATGTTTGTTTAAATTTTAATATTATTTTATAATCATAACTTCAAATTAAATAGATAAATTAATTCACACATTATACGAGTTACAATCTAATTTTACTTTTTTTAATAATTGATTTCAATATATCTAAAAGTAGAGATTAAACCATTTTTTTTATTTTTACTTATATCTCTCATCTATTTGATCTATTAAAATTAAGAATTAAAAAATATATAAATTTTTTTTTATTTTTTATTGTATAAATTGATTACTCCTATATATATATATATATATATATATATATATATATATATATATATATATATATACACGCACACATTGCCATAATCTTTAAATATTTTTGGTGAGAAATGAATTAAGGAAAAAAGAATATAGAAAAAGAAAAAAAACAAATAAAATAATAATCATGGATCCAGAAGAAGAATCGTGAAAAGGAGAGAAAATAGAAAAAGAAAACGCGCCTTTAGTTAGGACGTAGAGCAAAGCATGCAAAGCGGAGCGAAATGAAAGCTCACACAAACGGCAATGAACAATGGACAATAGATAATGGACAAACAGACAATGCTTGTGTTTGTCTGTTGTGTCGTCACTCGTCAATGCCTAATCAACTCGGCAATCAGCATTCTGCGAAGCCTCAAAACCCTTATATGCTTTGTGCCATGTCCTTTCTGGGGCTGCTTCTGGATTTTCTCTAATCTGTCTGGTCTGGTCTGATCTGATCTGGCCCCCACCCCAACCCATTCCACCAATGCTTCTCTCTCTACATCTCCTTTTTTTTCTTCTCACTCTAAATCTACAATTTCTTTTTTTTTTCCTTAATTTAAGGAAAACACGACACAAACACAAAGTCAGAAAGAAAAAGAATGATAAGCACAGACAAATACAAGAATAGGTAATTTCTCTCTCTCTCATGCCTTTCTCTCGCCACGCCTTGAGACTTGAGAGAGGAGAGAACTCTCCAACATACAATTACAAACATAGCTCTCCCTCCCTCCCTTTCCCTCTATTCTCTGTGCTTTAATTGATTTATTCCTCAAAGCAACAGCTGCTGTAGCTAGCTTCATCAAATCCAAAAACAACACACACTACTCATAATTACGTAAAGCGATTAAGCCCTCAATTCTTGATTAATTATTTTTCCTCTTCTATTTGTTTAAAGTTTAAAGTTCAAACAAAAACAAACCAAGCCATATCAAATATATAGGCAATAATTATAAACATTCTTGATTAATTATTTTTTTCTCTTCTCGCTTAATTCCCTTGGTGGTAGCTGACGCTGATCATAGCCTGATAATGGTTTTACCAGGCCTAGGCCAAACACCCATCTCCATGAAGAGCAACGGCGCCGGTGTAGGGTCGCATAGGATGAGTACCCATGGTTTTAAAAAGGGCCCATGGACCACTGCCGAGGATGCCATCTTGATGGAGTACGTGAAGAAGCACGGAGAAGGGAATTGGAATGCTGTGCAGAAGAATTCGGGGTTGATGAGGTGTGGGAAGAGTTGTAGGTTGAGATGGGCTAATCATTTGAGGCCTAATCTCAAGAAAGGTTTCTTTTCTCCGGAAGAAGAGAAGATCATAATCGAACTTCACGCTAAACTTGGCAACAAATGGGCTCGTATGGCCGCCCAGGTATGTCTAATATCTATTTGCATGCATTGATCATATATAGAGGGATATATATCGGCTACTAAAGAGTACTATTTCCCTATTGGTATTCTCCGTTCATGTGATCTCTTAAAGAGTATTGTTGTTTTCTATATATGTTTTTCATCGATTTGCATCTCCATTATTTCTCCCCTCTATCCTTTAATTTATTATCATTTGATGGTGATTGTTACCTTATACACACACCATGGCTGCTACCTTATATACACACCATGACATTTTCCTTTTCCTTTTAATATAAATGGCGTAAATAGTTCTTTAGGCCCACCTTATTGTTCCTTTTTTTTTTAATTATTCTCTCATATCTCTCTCTCCCAAGCCTCCTTAGTCCCTCTCATACTTCATCTTTTTGTTTCCTAAAGTTACCTGGCAGAACTGACAATGAGATCAAGAATTACTGGAATACAAGAATGAAGAGACACCAAAGAGCTGGGCTACCCATTTACCCTCATCAAGTACGAGATGAAGTCGCTGGACTTGTTCTCCAACAACAGCAGGAAGAGCAACAAATTCAACAATATGAAGGACGAAAGCGATCTAGCTCTTCTTCATTATCATCTAATTTCCTTTACTCTTCCCAGGGTAAAAATGAGCACGATTATATTTCATATTTCTCTTTGTTAGATTCCATGATTTCCTCATCAGCTCGACAGAATAAAGCCATCCCTTCATTTTACTCCAACCTTTGTACTAGCAGTAGCAATAACGGTGGTTTGGTTCCTCCTCTGTCCCATAGTTTTCCATTTGTATCATCATCCTCAAATTTGTATAACCAAAACATAACCTCCCAATTACCAGCGCCATCATTCCACTTCAATTCCGGAACTTTTGAGCAAACTTTAAGCTTTAGTTCATTGCTAATGGGCGCTCAAACTGAGCCAATCGACTTCGTTCCAGGGTTGAAAGCGGAGCTTCCTTCATCTCAAACACCACAACAACCAACAAGTACTCCTAGTCCTACTTCTCTTTACCCAAGCATTGGCAGTGCTTGTGTGGTTGCAGTTTCAAGCAACACAAACAATTACTGTGAACCTAAGGGAAGTAGTGGCTTGTTGGATGCACTCTTGGTGGAGTCTAGTTCTTTGTCTCGTAATGAGAGACAAGAATGCGAAGAATTTCCACAAGTGATTGATAAAGGGGAAGACGTTATGGACTCAGTTAATGTGGAGGAGGAAGGGGAAGATGACGATAATAAGTGCGCTGTTGAAAAGCAATGGGATCATTTTAGCTCTTCTCAGCCGTCAAAGGGTAAGTCGTCATGGTCTTCGGTTTTGGCTAAAGCTAAGATGATATGCATATAATTCAACTTACATTTCAGCTCATTTAATTTTCTCAAATACAACAGGGGTGAAATCAAGTGATGAAAGCATAGAAAGGATGAATTCCATGGACGAGGACTTGCTCAGCTTACTCAACAATTTCCCCTCATCGACACCACTACCAGAGTGGTACACCAAGACCACTCGTATGTCTAATGGGTCATCGTCTGGTGGTATGAGAGACGGTAATATGGTGCTTTACGCTGGACAAAACGTTTCACCAGCCCCCGCTGCAACGGCGAACCTTAATCGGGCCTTGGGTTCTTGCTGTTGGAAAAATATGCCTGGCATTTGTTAAATTCTCTAGTAAAGACGCCCGTTTGGATTGATTCTATATCAAGGAATAGGAATTCGGGAGTAGCACATTTACTTGAAAGGACTAGAAAGTATTAATTTACATATTGATTGACGTAGTTCTACTAGGCTATTACATATCATTTTTAGTTAGGCCATGTTAGCTAGGTTTATTTCGAGGATATTCCATATCCTATATATAGTGTGCCTATAGGTGTAACCCTAAATTGAAACCCTAAATCAATTCAATACTAATATTTTATGTCATATGAATATATATAAATTTACATTGATGCATTGTTAGCGTATAAATTTTATATATTATTAGTAATATATTATCATTAAATCAAATGATAGCATCTCATTAATAAATAAATATTAACTCTTAAAAGAAATATATAAAAAATTAATATTTTTTTAAAAACACTTACTTATTAATAAGGTGGTATCATTGATTTATCTTATTAATGAGGTAATATCATTTGATTAAATATATAAAATTTATATAGCATCTCATTAATGAATAAATATTAACTCTTAAAATAAATATATAAAAAATTAATATTTTTTAAAAAACACTTACTTATTAATAAGATAGTATCATTTAATTCATCTTATTAATGAGGTAGTATCATTCGATTAAATGTATAAAATTTATATAGTAGTAATGCATTAAATATAAGCCCTATATATATATATATATTTGTTCTTTCATCATAAGAGCTAAGCTATATATGATAATTCATATTAGGATTAGTATATATTACTTCAATAACCTTTTAATGCCTTCTCCAATATGAAATGGTTTTTTTAATTTTTTTTAGTTTACAAATTAGAAAATGTTGCAGTTGCATTTTTTCAAAGTATTATATTTGGGAGCATATCATCTATAATTATTATAGTTCAATTAATCAATCGTAATTCAATATTGTATAGAGTTCATAAAAAAATTAGGTAGGACTCACACTTTTAATTGATGAATCCCTACATGATTATTGATTATGATTTGTTAATTGTAATATTATAGTAAAATGCTCCGATTGTATTGTGAATATCTCCAATAGTTTATTTGGGAGATGTATTATTTAGCAATTTTAAATACTCTTCATATCTTAAAATGTTTATCCACTTTTTATTTTATTACAAAAAATTAAGACAAATTTAATTTAATGTATTCTATATTAAAATTGTATATTCTTTTGCAAGATATTAATGTTTTATGATTATCATTGCTAATTAAAAAAGTAAAAATAAAACAAAAATTGATACGGAAAGTAGAAATATAAATATCTAAAAATAAATAAAGAGGACATATTATGATGTTGCTTATAAAGAAAGATGAACAAAATGAGAAAGGGCAGAAACATAGCAGTTTTTTTGCTCTATATTCTGTGTTGATGCTTCGGCACGCAAGTCGCAAAAGCAGCTGTCTGCATTCTTTTGTTAATGCTGACTCTAGTTTGTGTATTCTTTATTTATTTTATGTATGTATTTGCAGCTGATGTGGCTGGGTTTGTGATACCTTTAACTTTATACAATATTCACCAATCTTCATCTCTACCCAAAAAAAAAAAAAAAAAACCCAAAGAACTGCTGCTACAAATACAAAAGGTCCAAAGTAAATTTCATCAGTCCACGTGTTAATATTTTGAGGTTTGTTGGCTTCTATCAGGAAATGAAAAAAAAAATTGAATAATTTTTTTTTTTTGTAGGTTAAATTGTTGGTAAATGGTAGCATGCAATGCTAGCTGCCTTCGCTAATTTTGGAGGCAGGCAACTTAATTTGCAGTATTTTGCTCTCCCTTTCCCTAACTACGTACAATGAAGGTGATATTACTAATTAATAAAAGATATAAATTAAATGGCAAAAGAAATGAAAGGATGTTGTTATTATAGATGTGGATTATATAAAAGTTAGTGGAAAAGATTTGGATGAAATTTTTTAAGTAAATTTTGTGAAGTTTTTTTATTAAAAATAATTAAATAAAATTAAAATAAAAAATAAAACTAATAAATTAAAAAGTCTTGTTACATAGATTAAGTGTGTAAATTTTGAAAATAAAAATAAATTTTACTATATTTTTTAGATAAGTACTTTTAATAACAATTTTGATAAAACTTTTATTATTGAATAAATATCTATCAAATTTAAATTATAAACGATATTTTTATTTTTTTTTACATATTATTAAAAAAAATATATCTTTTGTTCATCAAATGTTGGCATTCATACTACGTATATCTCTATTAATTTTTTGAGGGAAAAAACACAAATGGCAACGAGGGTTGAATCACGCATATCATCTTTCCCTTATCATAGCCTAATTCCCTCTCTTTACCTAATACTTCCAAATAAATTAAAAAAAAAAATTCATATCGGACCCGCAGCTTAGATGATGGATGGGAACACGTTTCTCGTGCTATTGGAAGCTTAATTTTATTAGCATCCTATAATTAAAAATAAGCTCCTGAAAGTGCCTTGTTTAGATGTTTCCTAATTTAAGGAGAAGGTATATTATATTATTTAGTATAATTTAACTAGGATCCATACCATAGAGTTTGCATGACTGGAAAAGGATCAATGGCATGCATATATCCATGTACTTCACGCTGGAGTGTACATTTTCCCACTTTCAAGGCTTCTAAGAGTCAGTTTGGATTTCATGTGTCGTACCTCCAATGCGAGGAGATTCAACCCTCGAACAGAAGTCAATTGGATTGGTCACAACTCATACGTTTGGATGTTTTAATTTTGGATTTAAGATTTAGGGTTTAGAGTTTAGGAGATCCACCTAATTTTTTTTTCTTTATTTTTACCTCTAGTGTCCGATTAAAGTTTTTCTTTTTTTCATTTTTACCTTTGGACAAGTAGAAACCTCTAAGGACCATTGACCTCAGCTCATTGAATAATTTTTCTATTTAAGTTTGTAAAGATTGGAAGACTTTTGTGTTTAGAAGGTTTTTCTTTTTTCTTTTGATTTTTTATTCAAAAATTATAAAATAATTTTATTGTTATTTAATTTAATATAATAAAAAATTTTACTATAATAAACTAATAAATAATAAAATTTTAAGTGTTGGAAGTTATGAGGTTTCCTAGAAGGGTTGTAGGTTGGATTAAGTGCTACCTTACCACACCAAGGTTTTCCTTGTCTCTTAATGAAGGCTTAGTATGGTATTTCAAAGGAGCAAGAGGAGTGTGGCAAAGGGACCCAATGTCTCCTTACCTGTTTGTTATGTTATGAATGTTCTATCTAGACTATTAGATATTAATGCTATTTATGGTGTCTTTTCTTATCACCCAAAGTGTAAGAGGATCCAATTGACACACTTGAGCTTTGTGGATGATTTGCTTATCTTTACAAAAGGGAATTTGCAATCTATTAGTGGTATATAGAACATATTGGCATTGTTTTACTCATTTATAGGGCTATGGCTTAATGATATGAAAAGTGAGTTTTATTGCACAGGTGCTTCAAGGATGGACTAGATATGATTTTGTAAGAAACGTGATTTAAGCAAGGCAACCTCCTTATCAGGTATCTTGGTGTGCCATTGGTCTCTCACAGGCCAACCATTAAGGATTGTGCACCTTTGATCGAGAAAATTATGTTAAGAATTCAAGGCTAGGTAACCCAGCACAGCTCTTATACTGGTAGATTACAATTAATTTAGTCTATGATATTCAACATACGTAACTATTGGTGCCATTTCATCCTGTCCAAGCTGGTAATCAAGAAAATCACGTAACTATGCCTACGATTCTTTTAGGAAGGTTAAACGAGCATAACAAAGCAGGCAAGAGGCAGTTGGCAAGATATATATAAGCCAACATCTAAGGGAGGGCTTAGAGTTAAGGATATAGAAGTTTGGAATCAAGCTTATGTCATTAGAACACTTTGATCAATCTACACACAAGCTAGATCACTGTGGATAGCATGGACACACAACTATGTGCTTAAAGGATGTAGTATATGGGAGATTCCTAAAGTACCAAGCCATAGTTAGGCCATGAAAAAATTGCTAAATTGAGGAGCATAACTTTTAGATTCTTAATGCAAATAAAAGATGGAGTTGTATGGAACACTATAAGCACAAGTTACTCCACAACTAGTGTTTGAGAGGTATTGAGACATAGTAGAATGTGGATTGGCAAAGGTTTATTTGGTACAAACTCTATATTCCTAAAGATGCTATGGTTGCTTCGATAATTGCTCTTAACAAACTCCTTACAAAAGATTAGCTGCTATCATGGGGGATATATGTGAATAAAGGTTGTGTGCTTTGTAAATGGGAAAAGAAGAGCAAAAATCATATTTTATTTAGTTAAACATATTCAAGGGAAACTTGGAAACAAATTCTACAGTTTTGTAACTTGTAAAGGGAGGTGAAAAAATGGGAAGAAGAGTATCATGGGCAATACATTGGCTAAAAAGAAAGGTGTTTGATTCAATATTATTAATGCTAGCTTAGGGAGCTTACATATATATGACTTAGGCATAAAGGAATAAGAGGTTCTACAATTCATACGAAATAGCAAAAGGGTTGATAGTAATGTATGTAGACACCAAATTTGGTTCAGGCCCAGAATGGAGTCAATGATCAAGCCTGAGAGTTATTGGTTTATTCTGAATTTGCTCTTTTTTTTATTGTTTATCCATTTTATTTATCAATTTTTCTTAGATAAAGATTAAAATAAAAAAGGTTAAAAAATAATAAAAAAAGAAAAAAAATTTGCTGTGAATTTAGGGGCTGGTGTAATTGTAGAAGGATTTAATCTTTAAAAAGATAAATCCCATCTTTTTGGATAATACTAAATCCCAATCAAAGAGAGAATCAGAATTGATCAGAAACTCTTCTCATCACAGCCTAAAAATGCCCATACAGAGGAACAGATTGAAAACACAAAAAATAGAAGCAAAAAAAAAAGTGTTTAGAAGAGCTAAAGCAATCCTAGAATTTTTAGGAATTTTTTTTAAAATTTTTGGCAATTTTTTTCTGAAAATTTTTTGGAAATTTCTAATTTCGATGAACTTTTTCGATAAGATTCATCTT